CGAAACCAGGGGCGGCGTGAACATAGTTTTTGGTGGGAGCGCGGCCATCCTCCCTCCTTGAAAGCTATGCTTTCAATCGGTTTCTGCAGTTGGTGAAAATTCGGTTGGAAGTTTGCACACCTTAGTGATAGAGCGCTTATATATTCCCTCTGCGGTCTTTACTTGTACCACTCTTACTCTGCCATCTTCACCTGGCATGACGTCGATGATGCGGCCCATCGGCCACTTTAGTGGTGGTGCCAGGTCATCTTTAAGTAATACTAAATCATTTACCTTCAGATTGGGTTGTGCTGATTGCCATTTGCATCTGGTCTGCAGCTCCTTCAAATAATCCGGCTGCCATCGTTGCCAAAATTGCACTTGGATCCACTGGACAATTTTATATCGCTTTAGGAGGCTGAGTTGAGCAGATTCTGGTGGTGGTTCGGGGATAGCGGTGAGGGTACGCCCTATCAAAAAGTGTGCAGGGGTGAGTGGTTGGAGATCGTTAGGATCCGACGATATCGGTATCAACGGGCGACTATTTACCATTGCTTCCGCTTGACATACTACTGTATGAAGTTCATCATATGAGAGTATGTGGTTTCCAATTGACCGGCGTAGATAATGTTTTGCATTTTTCACCGCGCTCTCCCACAGACCACCAAAATGTGGTGATCGGGGTGGGATAAACTTCCACAGGATTCCTTCTTCACGGCAAAAGTTTTCTACCGAGTTGATGTGCTGCTGTGTAATGAATGCTTCAAGCAGATGTCGTAACTCTCGGCTTGCCCCGATAAAATTAGTTGCATTATCGGAGTAGATAAGCCGACATCGTCCTCGCCGAGCCACAAATCGTTCAAGTGCAGCGACGAATGCTGCCATTGATAAATCAGGCACTACCTCTAAGTGAATAGCCTTGGTGCTAAAGCAGATGAAAACTGCAATATACACTTTTATTGCAGCCCTGCCTCTGATTTTCTGAGTCATTAACAAGGGGCCACAATAGTCAATGCCTGTAGTCTCAAATGGGTGTGATGGACTGACGCGTTGCGAAGGTAGTGCCCCCATTATTTGCTCAGTGACAACAGGGCGAAGGCGATAACAAATTATGCAGTGGTGTATTACTTGCCTGATGACCTTTCTTGCGTTGAGTATCCAAAATTTGTCACGAAGAATATTTTGCAATGTTTGAGCGCCTGCATGAAGATGTTGCCGATGATAGTAAGTGATGAGAGTGTGAATGAAAGGGTGAGCATGGGGCAGCACGATGGGGTGTTTGGCGTTGAAAGCTAACGTAGAATTTTTTATTCTGCCGCCGACTCGAATTAGTTGATTGTGCAAAAATGGTGCGAGCTGTAAAAGCCTTGACGATCGATGAAGTGGTGAATTTTTTAACATCCTTTGGTACTCGTCACGAAAATACAATAGCTGAATATTTTTGCAGACCATTTCTAACGTTGCCTCTATTTCGCCGGATGTAATCATCAATCCCCGCTTGCGTTGAATGATCCACCTCACGTACGTAAATATCCGAAGAAATTTTTGGAAGTTGGTTATGTGTTTGTGAGAGGCGATCATATCATTTTGTTCCTTTGCAACCAATTCGAATCGTTGACATCGCTGTTCAGGTATGTCAGAAGGTATATCAAACGATGAACGTGGCCAATGCTCTTGAGGCAACAGTAAAAATTTTGGCCCATGAAACCATAAAGAATTGGCGATTATGTCATGAGCCGATGCTCCTCTGGAAACGACGTCAGCAGGATTGTCGGCTGATGTTACATGGTGCCACTTGAATTGTGATGTTAATGGTTGAATTCTGGTTACTCTGTTCGCAACGAATACTGTCCAACGCGACGGCTCTCCCTCGATCCAGGATTTGGTGAAAATATGTCAATAATTGATTTGAGCAGTTCCGCCAGCAGCAATGTAGCGCACAATTCAAGTCGAGGTAAGCTAACTTCCTTCTTTGGAGCTACACGAGACTTAGCGGACAGCAACGATGACGTCGTACCATTAGAATCGCGTGTGACCATGTAGATGCAGGCGCCGAAGCCTTCGTGCTGGCATATCTGCAAAGGCATGGATTTCAGTAGCGGTGTTGAAAGTTACATACCTTGGAATTTGGATTTTTTGAACCAGAGATAGCTGCCGACGAAGATCTTGCCATTGGGTGTAAACATCTTGTGGGACACTTTCATCCCAATCTAGTTTCAGTGCCCATAGATGCTGCATTAATATTTTGCATGAAACTATTATAGGGTTCAATAATCCAAGTGGATCGAAGAAGCTTGCAATTTGGGATAAAATCGCTCTTTTTGTTGTTTTCGAAGACGACGATGATTCGGTGTAGCTGAACACGAAGTTATCGCTCGATGGTGACCATTTCAACCCAAGTGTTTTAATGTAGTCTACGTCACCGAGTTGTACGATTTCTTCACGGTCAACTTGGGGAATGTCAGAGATGATGGAATTGTCATTAGTGGCGAATTTTCGTAGGGGAAAGCCCCCATGTTTAAGCAACTCAACAACTTGCTGTTTAATTTGGACGACTTCATCAGTGGTGGCGCCACCTGTCATGAGATTATCGACGTAAAAATCTCTGAGCGTAACAACTGAACCAATTGGTAGCGATTCTGCCTCGTCCTTTGCCAACTGTTGTAGAGACTTTGTCTGCAGCTTGTACACTTGCACAGAAGCGTTCTGTGATTCTCGCCACAAAATGCACTGCCAAGAAAAGTCAGCTGAGTTCATTTGTACCTGGCGGTACATTTTAGCGATGTCAGCCATCAACACGTATTTGTACGCTCTAAAGCGAAGCAGGATTGTGAAAATATCGTCCTGTAGCGTCGGACCGACGAGCAATATGTCGTTCAAAGACTTCCCATTCGAAGTTCGGCACGACGCATCGAAGACCACACGGAGTTTTGTGGTGCTGCTGTCCGCCTTTGTGACGCAGTGGTGGGGGATAAAATTACGAGCCTCTTCGGGGTTATTAAGCAGTGTCATATGCCCCTTGTTAATATATTCGTTGATGAATTCACGATATGTGTTGGCGAGTGCGGGATTGCGAGAAAATTTATACTCAAGAGATACCAACCTTTTGAAAGCAGCGTCATATGACTGCCCTAGGTTGCTGGGGTCTTCTTTAAACGGTAAGCGAACGATGAATTGGTTGGTTTTTGGACATCTGGTTGTGGTTGTTTCGAAGAAATCTTCACATGCTTGCTCCTCTGGCGAAACTGACGTTAATGAATTGGTGTGGTGTTCTTCCAATGCCCAAAAGGTTTGCAACAGCTGATCGAGAACTGGTTCTTCGGACATGGTGAGAAATGCCTTATAGGCCGATGATTTATTCAACGATGAGGTTTTTGGTGATGAAGCTATTGGTGCAGATGTGTTAGCGATGCCAGAAACTATCCAACCGAGTTTAGTTTTCTGCAGAACCGGCGAATTGTTGCGCAGCTTGATTTGACCGACGAGAAGCAAATCATAAAATAACGCTGCTCCAATAAGACAATCGATCGTTGCTGGCTCGTAGAACTGTTCATCTGCCAAATTTATGTTGTTAGGCAAATTCCATTTCTCAATGCTGACACGATTGCTGGGTTGACACGAAGTTATTGTCGGTATGATGACCGCTTCCAAAGTCGACGAAAATGCTGTATGGCGCGATTTTAGTACAACACAGCATACTTGCTGCGTTTTCGTTGTTGTAGATCCAATGCCCGTTACCTCTATGCTGCGCTTTTTGCGCGGTAACCGAAGATGTTGTGCAATTCTTTCGGTGACAAAATGGAGCTGAGAACCTGAGTCCAACAACACACGTGCGATGAGAGAGCTTCCCGCAGTGTTACATAAACGAACTAGAGCTGTAGCGAGAATGACTTCACCTGTAACGATACCAGCCTGTAGCGTTGTTGACTTCTCAGCCTTCCCATCTTCCATTTTGTTGTTGTCGTCTGCCTTGCTACCATATGTGCGATGCAGCAAGGTGTGGTGGCTCGCACGACAGTGCTGGCACCGACGAAGTGATGGGCATTGATTCGACGAGTGGTTAAAACCAAAGCAATTGAGACATAATTTTAACCGTTTAATCAAATTGTACCGCTCAAGAGGATCAATTTTCATGAACTTCACACAATTGAATGCATTATGATATGGCCTTGTTTCACAAAGTGGACATTTCGACGATGCAGTTGTGGTGGTGAAAGAGAGCTGTTTCGATGAATATGGTTTCGATGTAGGATTTTTGTGACTGGCGGAACCATCTGAGCTTGATTGATTGGCTTCGATGATATTGAACGTTTGGCATCGGCGTTCGAGAAAATCTGCCAAATCGTTCCATGTTGGAAGCTGCAAGGTGGTTACTGACTTTCGATCAAATTTAGCAGCCACTTCTTCTTCCCATTTGCTTCGCGTATTTTCGTCTAGCTTAGACGTTACCAGGTGAAGAATTATTCCATCAGCAATTTGAATGGTGGTCGCCAGCGATTGCATGGCGCGCAGATTAGCATTAATGC